GCTGTATGTTTTCCAATCCGGTGATGTAAATGTATCCATGTATCTCAAAATGTCGTGATTCATGAAACGAACTTGGAACACTCTCCCGAATTCGGTCGTTCGGGCTGTTCCGGGCTTCTTTGTCCAAGGTACCGTGGATGTTGAGCCAATCCACATCCAAAATGGACTTCTGCCGAATCCGCCCCCAGCCTACGAAGAAGTAGGATGGAGGCGATGCAGGAGGCGAACGAGGGACGAGGACGAGGACGTGGCACGAGGCCTTAAGGGGTGCGATGTGATGCCATGTCGGGGGTGGTGCTTCTAGATCCCCCTTCAAGTACTAAGTCCAAAAGTCCTAAGTAATGAAGGGAATTGCCTGGAGGGGACCTGAAAAGGCTTTTCTACTTCACTATCTTCACTTAAGGAAAAGTATGGTCTTTGGACTTCTAAGCGACTATATGTGTTTAGAACATGGCGCAAAGGTGTCGGTCCATGTGGGAAAGCAACAACATCCACTTGCGGCAAAGGATGCCCAGTTCCCATGTCGCCCTCCCTATTTCGAGTCGATAGTCCTACACCTGCACACAAAGTCGGCGATTTGGCGGGCGAAGCTGCCACGAATGGAAATCGAACAAGACCCACTCATGGACGCAAGCGTTGCGCTGAGGACTGTCGTGTGGCGCTCCAGAGAAACTGTGTGGGCCTTTGGTTGCTGGGTGACACTGCCCTAATCCCACCATTCCTGCAATGCTTACACTTTTGGAGCAATTTCTGTCAACCCCGCCGGAAACGGACCGGCGCCTGTGGCACTCCCAGTCCAATCCACCTGACGTAAACAAAGCCCAAAGGGCTCCGCAGAATGCTCACCCCAGACGGGGTTCGCTGGTTCGTCACTCATCAAAGTCCCAGTGTTTCGCTACTCAAGGAACTGCCGTCAACGCACGAGTTACTGGGAAGTTTGGTTTTGCTTCATTCAATCTTTGGGTCAGAGCAGGTGTCAAGCGAAGTTGAAAAGCTGCCATTTCCAAACAGGTCAAGTCGCAAGGTGTCACCTTGACGTGAATGCCATGCCGCTACGGCAGAGTGAAAGCCAATCAAAACGCGACCCCTCTGCCTCTGTCGACGCACGAGCCACCTGAGCGGGTGGAAACGCCGCCGTCGCGAGCGTCGCGGCTTTGGAGGACGAAACCCGCACTGCGCCGCACAGATCGACATGAGCTTCTTCCGGATCTTTTACATGGATAGCCGGGTCTACCGCCCGGACCGGCCCGGACTATCCATGTTTTAGTGGGTGGGTTGACGTTTTTCCAGATTTGGAGAAGCACCTCGATGCAACATCTGTAGAGCCCCTCAGTTTGGAGAGAGGCAAGAAGAGTGTTAAGCCTCGAATCTGAGCTCAGGTTGAGTACCCGGATTTGGGGGTCGAATCCCTCGCTTTGGTCGGCTCATGAGCAGGTCGTGCACGTGCCACGACCGTTTTCGGGGTTTCCTCTGCTCACCTTGGCGGATGCCACGAGGCCGAGGCCGGTCGCCACCTGGCGCGAGAAGGTCGCGTTCGCGGAGGGGTGCGTGCGGACGTTGAAGTCGTGGTGAGTTGGGACGTTGAAGTCGAATTCGCCAAAGCAAACAGGGAGATAAGATCAGGAATAGTGACGGCGGAGTTTGGAAAAGGGCGATGACATGGATGAGGACCATGACACCTTAGGGCCGTATACAGGGCTTTAGAGGGACCCGTTTTGCAGTTCTGGCTCTTGCTGTTCATTTGCTTTCGAAGGACGTCTTGGCTCACACGCTTTCCACGCAGCACATACCCACTTCTTGGGACCTACTTCTTCGCGCCTGGGTTTTCAGGATTCATATCCCCTTCTGGGCCCCCTTGGCCATGAAACCCCATTAAACCAGCCAGGTGCGCAATCCCCTGAAATTCGCTCGAGACATTCCTTTTCAGATGCTGGGAGCCCGCCAAAGTCTGACCGGGGGGGGCCGATCTTTCGTGCCAAGCTTCAGGCCTTCTTTTTCCAAAATAAGAAGGAGCTGGAAGACGAACGGCTCTACTGAGCCTTCACTGTTCCTTTTCAGCCTGAGCCTTCACCCTGTCGAGTTGCTGGGTCCTGGTTTTTGGTGGTCCATCGGTTGACCTTCACCAACCGTGTTGCCTTTTCGGTTGGAGGCCATCGCTCGGTCACCGGACATCGGACATGGCGGTGGTTCCTGCCTGCCAGGTGCTGAAATGGCTGCGCCTTTTGGCCGTGGAAGCGTTGGACACCTCCGCTTTAGCCGTGGAGAGACTTGTGACTTGTTTTGGCTACGTGAACGCTTTGCTGAAAGCCTCAATGCTGGGCTTTTGGCTCAAGAGCGGGACCGAGAAGCTTGTCGGTTGTATCATACTGGCTAGGCAGAACGAGTTTAGCCTGATCCCTGCGAATTCCACGTTCCAGGGGACGTGGCCCGTGGTCCACCCCGCTTCCCACGTTCGAACAGCTTGGCTGAAAGGCCCGAAACAAACAGGGATGGTTTCCAGAGTCGGTGGAAGAGGGAGTGTAGATTGGGACTTGGATTTGTTTCGTTGCAAACCCTCAAAGCTCCAAACCCTGGCAGCCTCCAGCTCATTGCCTGGACAACCGCCCAAGCTTCCCAAGCTCCTCCTGCTCCCCCTGCTGGGCGCTGGGGTTCCGGCTGTGGGCGTTGACCCTCGAAGCTGCAGCGGTCTACCGTCCTCGCAGCAGGTACCGTCGGGTACGTCGGGACGGGCTGCCTTGAGTTCGACGAAAAGCGGCGCGTTCCGTTGCGAACTGTGCATCTTTTGGTCATCTGAAACTGTTCATCCGGCTCATCCTGTCGGGGCGAAGGGGACACGTCTGTCAACTCCCTGTGAATTCACAGCACTTCGATTCATCCTACCCAACTTCAGATCTTCAGATTCACCTTCTTGCGCGAGGTGCACCAAAAAACACAGGAGAATCGTCCCCTTGTTGGGCCACTTCGACTTGCCTTCAACAGAAAAAGCATGATAGCTTCTTGCCACTAGTGATATATAGGCCTCCAACCTACTAGCGATGGCCTCCACCCTAGTAGCAATGGCCTCCACCTAGTAGCTTCTTGTTACTAGTAATAGGTTTTTCTATGTTTGACTTTGACTTGGCCCAAGTGGCCAAGGCGTCTAAATCACTCCGCACCTCCACCGATCGGATCGGGGGCGCCTGGTGGCGGAGGCAGGTGGAAAAACCACAGAAATGAACACCGTCCTATCGATTGCAAGTCAGCTAATTAGTCCTATAAAAAGGACATAGACAAAGTCCTATGAGTCACAGGAAATGTCCCTGAAAAAAGGAAGGCTGTCCACTGACCGTCCTTCCCAATGTTCACAGGAAACCGTCCTTTCTTTGAACTGTTTATGAAATGTGTTCAAAGAAATGGAAGGCCGGTTCCCGTCCAGTCTTCCAGTCTTGCCCATTGAGCGGCATTCCCACCTTCACAAAGGCGTAGCCAACCGAGCCTGTGCCACCGGTGCCCACTTTGAAGAAATGACTTGTTGAAGTCCGACACGGCATCAAAGATTCTGACCATTCCACAAAACCCTCTTTCAGCTGTACAACAATGTCATGTACTTCAGAATCCCTCCAGATTTACCTTAGGTTGGAGGCCATCGCTACTAGGTTGGAGGCCATTCCTATTACAATCTGCAAAAGAAACGAAACCAGCGGAATATACAAACCGGCAATCAAACGACGCTCCTCGACCAAGGAACGTCTGGCGGTACGCCACACGTCAGGTGGTCAGCGCTTTTCTCTCAAGTGGATCTTTGGTGCCGGTCAACGGGCAAAGGGAGATGATCAGCGGTGCTGGCAGATTTCTCACAAATCACCCCCCAAACCCTTGAGTCGTCTTTCTCGTTTTTTCATGAGTCTGGCCATTCCTAAAAGAGGCTCTTGGAAGCTCTCTCCTTGCATGAAGAACACCTATGTTGTACACCTACGGGCCTCACATGGGATGGCGACGTCTTGACAAAGGCAGCGGATGGGAGTGACGTGTCCATCAAACTGTGGCCTTTTTTAGCCCTACAGAGTTGCTTCAGGTAGTACCAGGTAGGTCAATCACGGACCTTCTTCCTTTTCATCTACCTTCCCCCCTTTTTGCGTGTTTTCTCGCACTTCAAGGACCTCACAAGGACGACCCGCAGATTGCGCTGGGCGACTCCGGCGCGTTCCTTTTCGTGAAGTCGATCCCCCCACCAGGCGATCCGCGTTTTTCAACGGAGGTGTCCGTCACAAGTTCACCAATTGGTGGGTCTTCCAGTCTCCCTTTGGAGTCTGGAGAGGTCGTACCTGACGCACACGCACACGCCAGAGCTCCATGGCCGGGTCATTGCCGGCCTTTAAAACGGGCTCTGCCCTGATGGCATCGTTGACCCTTGCAGTTCACAAACAACTGTACCAAATCGTCCTTTTGGTAGGCTTCCTCTAGATTCATCCACCACAATCTGGAGGTGTTTGGTTTTTTAAGGTTCTTTGTTCCCATTTCCATATTGGCCCTGTCGGCACCACATCGGTTCAAGGTGGAGTCCCAGCCACGGTTCAGTGTACAGCAAGCAGGGTGCCCCGGTGTTCCAAGACCCAAGGAACTTGCTTCAAGACTTCAACATGCATCGCTGTTGATGAAGAGCAGATCTATGTGCTCCGTGCTATCCAACACTTTCTTGACCCCAACATCCGTGCTTTCCAGTCATCACTTAAGTTGGAGGCCATCACTAGTAGTTTGGAGGCCGTCGCTAGTAGTTTGGCTACTAGGTTGGGGGCCAGCATCGCTAGTAGTCATCACTTAAGTGGTCAAGTTGGAAACCATCAACAGACGGTGTGTCTCGGCGTCAGCGGAGCTTTCTCGGCGTGAAGCTGTGAGCGTTCTGTGCGTTCACATGCTGCCTGGTCGCATGATCATTTGGTCAAGTCATGTCAAGTCAGAAGGTCCCCGAGCACCCCAACTAATCTGGACTAAGGCTCCGTGCCTTGGTGAAAGCTTCCTCTGCTTGCACTAAAACACAAACTGCTTCACGCTGGCGGCGCACTAAACCACCCATCGAAGGTGCAGGAAATCTCACAGGTCAATCCTCCAACATCTCCTCATGAGAGAAAAAGCTTGCAAAAAATGGGACGATGGATGATGATGGGGAGATGTTGCCTTTTGCCTTACCGGTTCCTCTCATCAATCTCTATTTGTCTGACTGGCTGGTCTGACTAATGATCCATGTAAAGCTTGAATTTCTATGGCCCCTCAGACAGCCTGAAATCATCAAGGTGGGATGAGGCAAGACAAACTGGAACCGGGCCTGAAGATTCCACAAGCGCCAAGCCGAAGGCCAACCAGCCTAGCTCGGCGTCTCAAATGGCGCGTCCGAGCAGCAATTACTTGAACTGGATGGGAGCTGGGCTTTCAAGCCCAGCCTTCGAAGCTTTAGACCTTGGCCTGTAGCAAATCTTCGGCCTCCAACCTAAGGGCGATGGCCTCCAACCTCGTAGCGTTGCCCGTCTCTCACCTGCTTGGACGCTCCGGTCCTTGCCGTCCGCACCTCCACGGTGGCCAAGTCCGCCGAGGGCCGCTGCGAGGGCGGTTCCTGGCAGCCGATCCGCGGGTCCGATGGATCCCGCCGGCCGGGCGCTCCGGGGTCCGGGTGGTCCAGGTGGTCGTCCGCGTCGTCACTGGTCACTCGGGGCTGCCGAACGGAGGATCGGGGTGCGAAGCTCACATCCACTCGCTTGCAAACTCAACACCTCCCCGAGCTCTGTGACTCCTGGTAGAAACCATCTAAAATACATCTTGTTTTCTAGAGTACTCTCTTACTTCAATCTTCAGGTTCTGTTCTGGTAGAATTGGGCCCGACTTTGGTCCTTCTTGCAGGCATGCAGCGAAAGTAAATTCATCGTTACAGTTACAGTACTGGCATGCAACAGCCAAAGCCTTGTGGAGGATCATCAACGGGGTAGTCATCATTCGGTCGTTGTCCACTGTATCTATCGCAGTGGCATCCACTACAAGTGACTTGAACTCATCCGCAGACACTGCTCGAGCACCCGGTCACTTTTTTTCCGCGGGACTGGCGTGCTCGCTCAGAACAAGCCCAGCTCCAAAACGGGGGGGCACCGAGTAGATGAAACCTGGCTGTACCAGGTAGGCCGCACCAGTGACCATGAAGACCAGCAGCGACCCCAAGGCAGCCATCTTTTCCAGTTGTCCCTGGGAAGTGCATGAGTCCACGCATCCTGCATGAGTTGCCCAACTGTCCAAAGGAAAAAGGACTGAGACAACATACATGTTAGGGCGACATTGGGGGGGGCAGAAAAAAATAACTGATCTTCATGTTTTTTGAACTGAAAGTCTCTACTCGCAATCACATTACACATGTCAACACTACGGACCATTCCTGTCTCGATCAATTCAAGAATCGATCTGTGATTCCCAAGCATAAACTCTTCGAAACTTCAGCAAGTTAACTTGGTTGTGCTTTGGGTGTGACCCTCATCTTTTGTTTTTGGCGGCCTCATTCCTGTCAACCAATTCGTAACAGGAAATCGCGGGTCCTGTCAGGTAGGTCTTCTCCAACCTCACCCTCACGAACATACAGATACACTCGCTTTGTTGTCTCCGCAAGCAGTACTCCACCGGCGCCGATCCCAAACTCGCTGAGTGACAGCCTCAGCCGACATCGCAGCGGAGTCAACAACCTCGGTCGAACCTGTTTGGTTGAGTTGCTGCAACACTGGGAAACGGCAACGTCATCGTTTTCCCATTTTCAACTCCCTACATGATTTACACGATCTACACCTACGAAGCAAGGGTTTCAGAAGAGTGGCTCTCCTCCTCCTGGTCGCAGGGCAGCAAAGGCTCAAACCAAATCTGCTCCGTCTCGTTACCACAGCTGAGCTGAATACTGCAATTGGAGAGGTGACATCCTGCCCATCCGAATGTTTGAAGCTCCCTGAGCCATGTCATTGAGGGTTGGAGCCCATCGAGCTCGACCCTACCGAAAATTCATTGGGAATGAATGGAACACCCGCGCTGATCGCTGATGGTCCGCCCAAGTGATGGTCACGGTCCGGTTTTTGTGGCCCCACTGAAGCCGGTTGCTATGGCATGTCCAGGACCATGTTTCAGACGCTGCCCAGTGTGTCATTAGGCATCTTGGTGCACCAGTTTGTCGCGAATTCCCCCCTAGTAAAGGGGAAGATGGACAGAAACCTATATATCAGTTTGAATCATCTCAGAAAGTAAGGAAACTGATCGTTGGCCATACTGCTGCTTCACAGGATCTTAAGAAATTTCAAGTGCCACACATTGAACACCAAGCCGCACTAAATCGAACATTCATTCCTTTCATCCCTTCCTAACAACAGCCAAGGACAAGCCACACCCGTTCTTCTTCCCATTTCATCCACAAGCCCCATCCTCACCTTCATCTCCAATCTCTAGTGGTCCACAGCGGCCACAGGCCTTGCAACGTGCCTCCTCCAGGTTGAAGCCGTCTGTGCAGCCCGCAGCTCCGGCGTGTGCAGCACAAAGGAGTCCGCCAAGCAGCACCACCCACAGCCGGAGGCGCATAAAAGCACATGGTTTGCACCGGGGAAAACCGTGGAGAACTCAAACCGCAAAAGAAAGGGTGTTGGAGGCCATCGCTATTAGGTCTTCTTCACAGGTTTTTAAACAGGAGTTCTAGGTTTTCCTGTCATCATCAATGAAGGTGGAAACTTGCACCATGGAACCATTGTCCATCGACCCTAGAATATTGAATATTGGGTGTGTTTGCATGCTCTCTCTTTCTTGGGTGTTTCTTGTTCTTGTGTCCTTGTTTGGGACAGCGGGGAAATGGTGCTTGGTGTTATTTGCTTAAATTTCCGGAAATATACCGTTCTAATGAGGATCAAGCTTTAGCACTTGCAAGCAGGAGCTGCAAAAGCCGTGAACCTGTCGAAGCCTTCCCTGCGCAATCCAACACCAAGCCGGAGCTCCAGCTGGCTGCGGTTTTGCTACGCAAATCGCTCTGAAGTGCATGAGCCCATCCAAGGCGTACATACAAGAAATATCTCCGGAAGAAAGCAAACCTGTCCATGACTTGCGACCGAGCTTAGATCGTATCATTGATCGTATGACCAAAATCCGTACCACTCAGCCGAACCTCAGCGACCTCCACCGAACCGCGACCGCGACCGGTGCGGCTCCTCGACCTCGGCCATCAGCGCCTCGGGACGGCACCGAGGCCGTTCGTCGGCGTCGCCCCGCACCGTGCCCGGCCGTCGCTCCATGGACCACGCGCCTTCCGGTCATAGACCAAAGCAGCGTCGACCACGTCTTCAGGACCTCACCAAACGCGGTGAAGAGATGTGAAGATCAAAGGAAACACCACCCGAAAGCACTTGGGAGCCGTGCCAAACGTGCTGTTCCTGCTGAACCACTGCTTGCGTTTAGCAGTGGCCACCCGACATCGATCATCAGCTCTCATCGGAACGGACCACGGTGCTGATGGCGTCCCGAATCGTCCAGACGCGTGCGCCGGAGTGATTGGTCGTGCTTCCTGAGCCTTCATGAGCAGCACTAAGAATCCGAGCTCGGGCTGTCCATGGCAGGGGTCAGACCCGACCTCTTGGCAGGGGTCCGGGGCCGAACCAAACCCTATCTGTTTGAGGGTCCGGATTCTTAGGGAGGGTACATTGACCCTGTCAGGGGAACAGTGATTCACCCCCGTCAGAATATAGGCCTTCAGGGTCCAGGGTCCCCCCGTGGAACTCTCCCTCTCTTCCCACGAACTTCTCAGAACGTTCCTCTCTCCAAGGCGCCTTGGCTTTCCACCTCGGACACCCGAGCATCCGCTGCATCCACCCGTCGGAGCCGACACCGGGGGTCGAAATTGGAGCCCAACCGGTGGGGACGCATGGTGGACCATCTGGTGCATGTGTCAAAGCCGCCACACTGCCGTGTTCGACGGCTTCCTTTCCGCAGCAACCTTTGGGGGCCGGGCTTTTTTCGTGTTTCTTGGACTGCCGACCAAGACTTGCAGATTGCAATGTCATGCGTTCAGTTGCACCCTTGCACTTATCACATGTGTTGATTGTTTCAATAAGTGCACCAAGCCACCACCCAGGAATTCCGAACTCTCTCAACATCGCTTGAGTACAGGCTCCCTTCGAGCCCAACGACCACATGCGTCTCTGACTTGGACACGGTCAATGTCTTTCTCACATTATTGCATTGTTCCTAGGCAAAACTCTCACGTTGAGATGACCCTGAATGCTTTTCACAGGTGCTGCGCCTGTCAAGGTCTGCCCGGCAAAACAAGGTGTCCATAGGAATCATAAGACCAAGGACATCAGCCTTCCGACAAGCACAGTGCCATCTGAAGTCGGAACCACCTGGGAAATGCCACAATCACCCACGGATGACCTCAGACCGCGTCACAACCGCCCCACCATCGACCCATAGCTCCAAGACCAGCGGCAGAACTTTGTGAGGAAAGATCTTCGGAGAGACCTACGGCATCGAAACGGAGAGGAAGGGACTCTCACTGGGACCACCAGAATCTGGTTGTGCAACATGGTGCAACATGGTGCAACGAAGCAACAATCTGAGTCTTCAATTCTTTGGGATTTCACTAATTGCGATGGCCTCCACCTAGTAGCTTCTTGTTCCGAGTAGTAATGGCCTCCAACCTACTTGCGATGGCCTCCACCCAATAGCAGTAGTAATGCCCTAGCTACGTTCGTAGCGTTCTTGCTACTAGTAGCGAGGCCCTTGTTACTAATAGCAAATCAAATTTCAAATAGCTTCTTGTTACTATACTAGTAAGGCACTTGTTACTAGTAGCGATGCACGTGTTACTACTAGCAAATCAAATGATTGTTTGTGGTTGGACAACACTTCTCAAAGTTGCCTCAGTCGACACGTCACCGCACCTTCTGAGGAGCGTCTACGACGGTTTTTCAGCAAATGCAGCGCTAGCATTGCACCTGCGTGCGTGCGTGATGAAGGCAGGGCAGGGCAGCTACAGTGTGAAGGATGAAGAAGAGGATCTGGATCATCCATTCAACTCCTCTGCTCAGTGGCCCAGTTTGGCGTTCCGGTCGCCTGTGAGAGAGCTCACATCCCTGGGCGGCTTCTCAGATCCAGCCTGATCGATGTCGCCGACGGGCGCTCGGAACTCGGAACTCGGATCCCTCCTTCACGTGCCCGGATCCGTTTTTTTTGCGGCCGATCACAGAGTATTCAGCAACAACGTTCAAACCATTCACCCTACAATGTCTCACTTACAAGTCGAACCTGCAGGGCTTCGATCTCTCAAAACCTGCGCGTTCGCAAACACCGCGGCAAATGCCTGAGCAAACGCCCCACGACGCGCCCCAGCCAGGCTGCCTTGGTGGAATCAGAAAGTTCTTCCGACCAAAATGCGGCGGTGAGGAGTCGAAGCAGTGGGGGGGGGGTAGGAAGCTAATAGTAACAAGTGCCACGCTAGTAGTAACAAGTGCCTTACTAGTAGTA